GACAGTGTGAGGCAGAAGCCGAAAAGAAGGTAGAGGGAGATGGGGGAAGCAGGAGAGAGAGTAGTATGAGGAGAAGAAGGAGGGAAAGCCGAGGAGAATGTAATGGAAGTAGAGAAAGCAGGAGAGAAGATAAGGAGGAGGAAAAGGATTCGCGAGTGACAATCTGTAACTCATCAGTCTAACATCTCGCCCCGTTGTGAAACTTCTTCCAGTACAAACTTCTGTCATTAACTATTACTGATCTCGGAAATTTAATTTAGTCATAAATTGAGCCAAAACTGGTGAATATTCCTGGCGTTGCATGACATTCTTGAGTGCCAAGATATCGCTGCACTTGGCACCAAACACAACCTATATCATTCAAAGCACACACAATATCTTAAGATATGAAGAAAAATCAACTTGTCTTTTTCCTGGAGCTGTTGACTGGGGCAACAGGCCGACAAGTAACTATTTAAAACACGTGAAACAGAACAAGCCTTTAGCTTAGACTTCATTTAGCTCTAGGTAGAGTTTTTATCAAGTCTTAGTCACGAAACATCATCTAAAATATACGTCTGAGGCTACATTACGTGTTTACAACCATATCTTCTGTTAGGAGCAGATCTGCCGAAAACTTAATACCCACGTCTTGAAACGTTGTTTCTCCGTACTGGCCGGGATACTCAGTCAGCTCATGTCAGTGTATGATGCTTGGCTTATGGCACTGGTCGTTACACTAGTGGCATCATGCCATTGTTGTCTCTCTTACTGTAGCACCCAAGCTAACCTTCGATGCTCTATTTCATGTTTATTCCATTATTTATTATTATTATTATTATCATCATCATCATCATCATCATCATCATCATCATCATCATCATCATCATCATCACCATCATCATCATCATCATCATCATCATCATCATCATCATCATCATCATATTATTATTATTATTATTATTATTATTATTATTATTATTATTATTATTATTATTATTATTATTATTATTATGTGCTTTAAATCAAATTTTGTGTTTGTAATCCACAATTTTCTCTTTTTCAAACACAAATATTTTAACCATTAAGAAATGCAAACTTAAGTCGGGCCGAAACGTCCTTATAAATCTTTCTTTCCTAAGTTCGGGTTATCTATGTATTGTTCAAGTCACGGTATTGTGCCTTCTTCTTTTTGAGTGACTAACACATTAATTTACTGATTAAAACAACACAAGTAGTTATATACTGCATAAAAAAAAAACACATTATATACTGTATAAGACAAGATTAATATACAAACTCCTGTAATTACATAACTTGATTATAATCAAGTCTTGTCTACTTTGTAAATTCGATTGAATTACATTTTTCTGAAGAAGTAACATCACTGATTCTTATCACAGGCTGTAAGGAAATTCATCAACTTGTCGGTATTGTATTCCATCAGTAATATGAAATTCTTGTATTCACTGTCGTTGCAGTTTGTCCGTGCTTTCCCATATGCTGATTTAGTTAACGGGAACACTTCTCTTAGTAGCCGTGTTGATGGTATTGCGGATTGTTGTTGCAATTGTTAACTACAATCCTTTGGGTGTTTGCATGTGTGGGTGGTGAGTCCTAGCCCTCGGCTGGTCATTAGTGTGGTGCGTAAGACAGATGAACGTGCTAATGAAGGAGCAGAGTCCGTGTTGTGGGTAGGGCAGAAGGAGAGACAAGAAAGGAGAAGAGACAATGGAGAGACACGAATAAATGGAGGAAAGACGAGAAAGCAGGGAAAAGGAAAGGAAAGGAAGGAGTAGAGACAAAGAAGAAAGGACAAGGAAATACGAGGAAAGAGAAATAAGGAAGGAGGGAGGGAACGAAAATTGCGGGAGGAAGAAGCTAAAGGACAGGGGATGGTGGACTGCCACCATCAAGTGCCTGGGGATTCAATTAGCCAGATGAGTGGCCATCTTGGCTCCCTGGCGATGATAAAAGAGTGCAGACAAGCGTGTACACCATCCTCCGGCATCACAACTTCAGCGGTGAGGCCTGGCCACAAGTTCTCTGCTAAAGTGAATACCAATGTCGTGCTGCCGACAACAATGAAGAAAGATACACGTAGCAAAACAAGATATTACTGAAACGTGTTTCAATCTCTGTAGAGATTGACCAAGTTCTACAACATATGTTTTCTCCTAAGACTCGGCCAATGTGTTCATTACCTGAGCCTGTTTTCTTGAGTGACTTGCTTGTGTGTGTGTATGTGTGTGTGTGTGTGTGTGTGTGTGTGTGTGTGTGTGTGTGTGTGTGTGTGTGGTGTGTGGTGTGTGTGTGTGTGTGTGTGTGTGTGTGTGTGTGTGTGTGTGTGTTGTGTGTGTGTGTGGTGTTGTGTGTGTGTGTGTGTGTGTGTGTGTGTGTGTGTGTAGTCACCTGTTGTTCTCCCTTGTGAGGTTGGGGGTCGAGTCGAGTTCCTGGCCCCGCCTCTTACTGATCGGACTAGGTCACTCTCCCTGACCGTGACTTGCTTCATACCTACTGCTCTAAAGCTTGATGGATTTATCTCTCCTCCTAACTTACATCGCTTCCCAATCCTATCCACTTACTGACTACTCTGTGGCTGAAGAAATATCCTAACATCCCTGTGATTCATCTGTGTCTTCACTTCCAACTGTGTCCCCTTGTTACTGTGTCCAATCTCTGGAACATCCTGTCTTTGTCCACCTTGTCAATTCCTCTCAGTATTTTGTATGTCGTTATCATGTCCCCCCTATCTCTCCTGTCCTCCAGTGTCGTCAGGGTGATTTCCCTTAACCTCTCCTCGTAGGACATACCTCTTAGCTCTGGGACTAGTCTTGTTGCAAACCTTTGCACTTTCTCTAGTTTCTTTACGTGCTTGGCTAGGTGTGGGTTCCAAACTGGTGCCGCATACTCCAATATGGGCCTAACGTACACGGTGTACAGGGTCCTGAACGATTCCTTATTAAGATGTCGGAATGCTGTTCTGAGGTTTGCCAGGCGCCCATATGCTGCAGCAGTTATTTGGTTGATGTGCGCTTCAGGAGATGTGCCTGGTGTTATACTCACCCCAAGATCTTTTTCCTTGAGTGAGGTTTGTAGTCTCTGGCCCCCCCTAGACTGTACTCCGTCTGCGGTCTTCTTTACCCTTCCCCAATCTTCATGACTTTGCACTTGGTGGGATTGAACTCCAGGAGCCAATTGCTGGACCAGGTCTGCAGCCTGTCCAGATCCCTTTGTAGTTCTGCCTGGTCTTCGATCGAATGAATTCTTCTCATCAACCTCACGTGTGTGTGTGTGTGTGTGTGTGTGTGTGTGTGTGTGTGTGTACGGGATGAGGAGGGATGTCGACGGGGATAAGTCCAGAAACTTGCGTATCACAATATGCTGTGTGTGCACTTAAGGACTGTTTCTATCTATAGCTTGCAAACATGAACCATTTATAAGTTAATCACCCTTTGTAAATGAATCTGCAATCATATATGTGATATATATATATATATATATATATATATATATATATATATATATATATATATATATATATATATATATATATATATATATATATATATATATATATATATATATATATATATATATGAGATTCTCTTTTTCCTTTCAGCCGGTGAGGACATGTTTAATGCCTGCAACCTGTTTTTGTAGCTTATATCTAGTCTTTGATTTTCTTCTGTCTTGTCCACATGTTTTTTTTTTTTTAAGTTTTTTTTTTTTTATCACACTGGCCGATTCCCACCAAGGCAGGGTGGCCCGAAAAAGAAAAACTTTCACCATCATTCACTCCATCACTGTCTTGCCAGAAGGGTGCTTTACACTACAGTTTTTAAACTGCAACATTAACACCCCTCCTTCAGAGTGCAGGCACTGTACTTCCCATCTCCAGGACTCAAGTCCGGCCTGCCGGTTTCCCTGAACCCCTTCATAAATGTTACTTTGCTCACACTCCAACAGCACGTCAAGTATTAAAAACCATTTGTCTCCATTCACTCCTATCAAACACGCTTACGCATGCCTGCTGGAAGTCCAAGCCCCTCGCACACAAAACCTCCTTTACCCCCTCTCTCCAACCTTTCCTAGGCCGACCCCTACCCCGCCTTCCTTCCACCATAGACTGATACACTCTTGAAGTCATTCTGTTTCGCTCCATTCTCTCTACATGTCCGAACCACCTCAACAACCCTTCCTCAGCCCTCTGGACAACAGTTTTGGTAATCCCGCACCTCCTCCTAACTTCCAAGCTACGAATTCTCTGCATTATATTCACACCACACATTGCCCTCAGACATGACATCTCCACTGCCTCCAGCCTTCTCCTCGCTGCAACATTCATCACCCATGCTTCACACCCATATAAGAGCGTTCGTAAAACTATACTCTCATACATTCCCCTCTTTGCCTCCAAGGACAAAGTTCTTTGTCTCCACAGACTCCTAAGTGCACCGCTCACTCTTTTCCCCTCATCAATTCTATGATTCACCTCATCTTTCATAGACCCATCCGCTGACACGTCCACTCCCAAATATCTGAATACATTCACCTCCTCCATACTCTCTCCCTCCAATCTGATATTCAATCTTTCATCACCAAATCTTTTTGTTATCCTCATAACCTTACTCTTTCCTGTATTCAGCTTTAATTTTCTTCTTTTGCACACCCTACCAAATTCATCCACCAATCTCTGCAACTTCTCTTCAGAATCTCCCAAGAGCACAGTGTCATCAGCAAAGAGCAACTGTGACAACTCCCACTTTGTGTGTGATTCTTTATCTTTTAACTCCACGCCTCTTGCCAAGACCCTCGCATTTACTTCTCTTACAACCCCATCTATAAATATATTAAACAACCACGGTGACATCACACATCCTTGTCTAAGGCCTACTTTTACTGGGAAATAATTTCCCAGTAAATAATTTTTTTAAGTGTGAACACTATATCCTGTGTGTGTATGTATCTCTCTCTCTCTCACTGTACAGCTGACGAGAGTTTGTCTTGCCCCTGAGCAGCGTGAGCGAGTGTCGCCGTCACGAGGAGGGGACAGTGTGGGTTTATCAGTGGTGGCGTCGCAGGGTTGCGGGGAGGTGTGCCAAGGGTGCCACGACGTCATCGCTGACCGCTTCCTCCTGAGGGTCAACTCTCGCTCCTGGCACCAAACTTGTCTCAGATGCTGCGTCTGTCAGCTGGCTCTAGACCGTCAGCCATCTTGCTTTATACGTGAACACAACGTCTACTGCAAGACAGACTACACCAGGTGAGTGTAATGACCTGTTTTGAGAAAATTAAAACTGTATCAGGGTATGCAACAAATTCTAACCATACAATAGAGCGAAAAAGTATTGTAAAGGACCTGGGAGTGATAATGTTAGAGGATCTCACCATGAAAGACCACAACAATGTATCTACCTCATCTGCTAGAAAAATGATAGGACGGATAATGAGAACCCTCAAAACTAGGGACGCAAAGCCCATGATGATTTTCTTCAAGTCGCTTGTTCTCTCTAGGCTGGAATATTGCTGTACACTAACTGCCCCCTTCAAGGCAGGCGAAACTGCTGACTTTGTGTACAGAGAACTTTCACGGCACACATAAGTACGATAAAGCACCTAAATTACTGGGAATGGTTGAAGTCCCTTGATTTGTATTCCCTGGAACGCAGGCAAGAAAGATACATGATAATATACACTTGGAAAATCCAGAGGGACTAGTACCAAACTTGCACACGAAAATCACTCCCTATGAAAGCATAAGACTCTGCAGGAGATGCAATATTTCCCCAACGAAAAGCAGGGGCGCCACGAGTATGCTGAGAGACAACACAATAAGTGTCAGGGGCCCAAGATTGCTCAACTGCCTCCTAGCATACATAAAGGGGATAACCAAGAAACCCCTGGCTGTCTTCAAGAAGGCGCTGGACAGGCACCTAAAGTCAGTACCTGACAAGCCGGGCTGTGGCTTTTACGTCAATTTGCCTGCGGCCATCAGTAACAGCCTGGTTGATCAGACCACGAGGCCTGGTCTCAGACCGGGCCGCGAAATCCTCTCCAGGTATACTCCAGGTATACGTAGTCTACTGCACCTGGTATCAAATACATAGATGAAGCCTCTGCTGGTATTATAGCAGTTGGTTACCCCAGGATGATAAAGATTTGAGGAACTGATTAAGAGATTTTAAGAAGTTTTCTCTGAGGAAATAGGAAAATTTCTGGCAATCCGAGAGGAATGGGGGCGTAAAGACACCAGACTATAATCACTACAAGTTAAGAGGTGAAGAAGCTACTAAACGATCTTAACACAACGAAAGCCATGGGACCTGATACTCTATCACCATAAATACTGAAAGATTCTAGACAAGAACTATGAGTGCCACTGCAAAAAACGTACAAGTGGCTGGAAACAGAGCAGCTACCAAAACAATATAGAAAACGACGAACGTCGTACCGTAATGAAGACGGGTGACAAAGGCAGCTTTAATTTTGTCTCGCAAATTTACTGGAGGTCTATAACAGAGTAACGAGATCAAGCAGAAAAAGAGGGATCGTTGGACTGCATTTTCCCTAGGTGCAGAAATGTGTTCAACACTATTCCACATCAAGGACTATTTGTAAGTTGGAAAAAAACAGGCTGGCGTAACAGGAAATACACTTTAATGTACCAAAGAGTATCTATGAGGAAAAAACACAATGATGGTTAATGAAGAAGTATCTACAGGAAAAAAACAATCAATACGAGAACTAGTATTGTTTCTGATATATATAAGTGCCCTGCCAGAGGTAAGCGAACCATACATTTCGTTTTTTCTGCAGATTTTGTAAAGCTGCTCAAAGATAAACAAATGAGAGTAAAGAGGGAGGGACTGAGAGAATTCCGGACAGGCTGTATGATTGGCAAGACAAGTGTCTACTGGAATTTAATACTAACAAGTTTAAAATTATAAAAATATGGGAAGAGGAGAGACGACCAGATACTGAATACAGCACAATAAACAAGGAGAACGATATAAGAGTATGCATAATACTAGGAATATTACCTGAGGCGCTCGATAGAATTTCAGTTGCGTCTGAGAAACTGGCACAAATAAGAAGCCTCAAGGGATACAAATTGTATTCCTTGTAGAGTATGTCGCACTGCCGTGGAGCTCACAACTCCCCATCCCTTTGGCACTCCCCCCCTTGCCTCTGCCTTCCCGCCACGCCCCTCTGGCTCCCTTCCCCGCCCCTCGCCCTATCCGTCCCGCTCCGCACTACAATTTCTCATATGATCCCCACAAACCACCCAAATATTACCTTCCCTTTGAGGCATTTGTCTAATGTTTTTCTCCGAAACAACTACATATATTCTTGTAAAAATCTTACAATGAGCTTTACTGCCAGCTTTACATATAAATCCTTCAAGGCGCCCTTCATCTCAAATTAAACACATATAAAGCACTGATACCAAGTCCAGATAAAACCTCACACTAAACTCATGTACGCCGTTATATACATTTAATGGATGAGGTCTCCTGAAGTCAATGGATAACTGATGTCTCTTTAGCAATTGCATCAGTACGACCAGTAGACAAGGCAACTGAGACATTAATAGTAGTAGTGGTATACGTAGAGGTGACAGTCATAACAAAACTGGTGGTAACCAGGAGTGCCACACACAGCTCTGAGAGTGGCAGTGGAGTAACACAAGCACCTCAAGACAGAAACAGAGCTATAGCAAATTAGTAGAGGAAGTTTTAGCCCACATCTTAAATCCAACTCCATTTCCTGTAAATTTCCATGCCATTTTTCTAATGTGGTATGGTACATTGTTTCCTGCTTTCATACCGAAAAAGCCTGAAGAGCGGGAGAGAGCCTTCTGTTTTTCTAACCTAGCCTCACATACCTTGACAACATACGATAGTTCTTAATCTATGAAGTAGATAGTTCACCTCAGAAGCGAGTCTCTATGTGTACCTCCAAGTCCTCTATTGTCTTTCCCATGTACTCCCATGCGCTCCTCTCCCAAACTACAATTTGTATCAACGTAGGGAGAGAATAATATGAACTGGCAGTCAAAATATAAGAGAAGGCAGCTAGGGAGACCCCAGACTGACCCACAGAACAATTCCCGCCTTTCTCTTGTCAAAACGAGAATGCAGCGGACAGTTTAAATAATGATGCTGGGATTATATCTCCTTCTCTTATCAAATCTATCTCTCGTTCAGACTATTTGCGCAAGGCAACGTCTCGTCCAGCGCCCTCTGGCAACACTTGCTCTACAGTTGCCCGATACCTATAGCCCACAAATATTTTTTTACGCACTTCTGAGATACTAGTAGACAAATTATATTTGAATCTTAGATTACTGAGTTATGGAAGAAATTTGGAAAACTGAAATAATGGTTTTCATGCGATAATATGTGAGTGCTGAATCTGATTTGCTTCAATCATTCAACGATAGTACTTGTTAATGGAATTTTTGAGTGATTACAATGCTGGTGTATTTTAGGTTACTGGTCTCTCTCTGAGGTAACAGAGGGATACCTCTTCGGCTTGGCTTCAAACCTGGTGTTTCTGTGTGTGTGTGTGTGTGTGTGTGTGTGTGTGTGTGTGTGTGTGGTGTGTGTGTGTGTGTGTGTGTTGTGTTGTGTGTGTGTGTGTGTGTGTGTGTGTGTGTGTGTTGTGTGTGTGTACGTGCGCTCGCGCAAGACAGTTGCTACAAACAAGCGATCAAATAAATGCAAAACAAGCCACTAAGGGATGGAAAAAAATATCTTTAGGCCTTTCTCCAGTGCTTCGTCAGGAGTTGTTTAATGTTGCAATAGATAGATGGAATGGAACATTTTCACAGGTATATAGGCAGTGTAGTTCGTGCCATGTTACATGGGCAAAACGTTGACTCAGTAAAAGTGCTGGTCTGCACCTGTGTCTGATTTAATCATGCATATGATTCATTTGCTTCCTTAATTTTCAACTGTGCCCATCCATTTCCGATCTCCGTCTTTCAAACCTCCAGTGTTTCCCCTCCTTATCCCCGGTCAATACTCCGTCACTGCTCTTCTTTCACATTCCTCAGTATTCATAACTCTGCACTTTCTGGGACTGAATTCCAGAAGAAATTTGTCTGAGCATCCGCGAAAGTTTATTCGAGTCCCTGTAGAGGCTTTCCATGTCTTTCCAAATTTTTACTTTCCTTCTATTAATATCGTCTGCAAACAGCGAAATAAAGCAACATATCTTTTTTTTATTGGTATATGGTTTATGTATATGAGTAACAGTAATGGTCCCATGACTGACCCCTGTGGGACCCCGCTTGTCACTTCTGTCCATCAGTGTAACTCCTCCTTGAACATCCCTCCCTCTCCTACCCTTTAGGTACACTGCTATCCATTGTAGTGCATCTCCTGTTATACCTGCCTAGTGTATGTGTGTGTGTGTGTCTACAGTGCCAGGGGAATGTGTGGTAGTCACGCTTGATCCAAGGAAGGGGAGAGCTTGATCCAAGGAAGGGGAAAATAGCTACAATTCCTTGGAACATAAACTATGCATAATCACAGCAACCCCATTGAAATGACTTCATAAAGCACAGCATGGCGTACATTTGTGTATAAGATTTATCTCTGAAACTTTCTGCGAACGTTGCATGCTGACAGAGTCATCAAGGTCACAACTTCACACATAATATTCGACAGTACTGTTCCATAGCTCGACCGGAACTTACAACTCACATTGACTCTTCTCCTACAACTTACCTTTGCTTTAAACAATCCTGTTAAAAATTACTAGCACCAGGGATATAAAGATATGTATACAATGTGTACATGTATATATATACACACACACACACACACACACTCAAGGAAAAAGATCTGGGGGTGAGTATAACACCGAACATATCTCCTGAGGCGCACATCAATCAGATAACTGCCTCAGCATACGGGCGCCTGGCAAACCTACGGATAGCGTTCCGATACCTCAGTAAGGATTCGTTCAAGACTCTGTATACCATTTACGTCAGGCAAATACTGGAGTATGCAGCACCAGTTTGGAATCCACACCTAGTCAAGCACGTCAAGAAATTAGAGAAAGTGCAAAGGTTTGCAGCAAGACTAGTCCCAGAGCTACGGGGATTGTCCTACGAAGAAAGGTTGAGGGAAATCGGCCTGACGACACTGGAGGACAGGAGGGTCAGGGGAGACATGATAACGACATATAAAATACTGCGCGGAATAGACAAGGTGGACAAAGACGGGATGTTCCAGAGAAGGGACACAGACACAA